GCTTTGATATAGTTTTACCTTTTTTCAAATTTCGCAGATTTTTTAATAAGGTTTTAATATAATTTAACCAAGTTTTAATTTTACCATTTAGACGTCTGTCTAAATTCTTGATTTCGTCTAGCAACCTTACTTAGGTCTATTGCATAATCACGTGATTTAAATTAATTAGACATTGGATTTTTTATTTAATTACATAATTACTTATACTACTTAATAAAATAAAAAAATACCGAAATCTGATAAAAAAATTACATTTCTGCAAAAACTTTATTTAATTATAGCATCATGCTTTTTAGTAAGGGTTTTTTTACTTTTAAGAAACAAATTAATGTTTTTTGTTTTTATATTTTGTAGGGATCGGACTTTTGAAACCTTAGAAAAGGCTCATAAGTCTATTAGGATGGATTCTTTTTGGCATTTACTTAAGAAATGTTATTAACGTTTCTTTTTTTTATATTTTATAGGGGTCAGACTCTTGAAACCTTAGAAAAGGTTCATAAGTCTATTTGGGTGGATTTTTTTCAGCATTTACTTGAGAAACGTTATTAACATTTCTTTTTTTTTATATTTTATAGGGGTTGGACTCTTGAAACCTTGGAAAAGACTCGTAAGTCCATTGGGTGTAAATTTTTTCAGCATTGACATAAGAAACGTTATTAACATTTTTTTTATATATTTTATAGAGGTCAGACTCTTGAAATCTTGGAAAAGTTTTGTAAGTCCATTGGGGTGAATTTTTTCAGCATTTACTTGAAAAACATTATTAACGTTTCTTTTTTATATTTTATATTGATCGGACTCTTGAAACCTTGAAAAAGACTCATAAGTTCATTGGGGTGAATTTTTTTTGGCATTTACTTAAGAAACATTATTAACATTTCTTTTTTATATACTTTATAGGAGTCAGACTCTTAAAACCTTGAAAAAGGCTCATAAGTTCATTAGAAGTGATTTTTTTCAGCATTTATGTAAGAAACGTTATTAACGTTTCTTTTTTTATATATTTTGTAAGGAAATGGAGTTTATTTTAGACATAAAAATGATAGGTATAAAAATAATGTCAAATGATATAAAATAACCTAAAAATGATATCATTTTTCAAGTGCAATAGATAAAAATAAATTATTCTATATATTTATATCAATATTAAAAATAAAAAATAAAGATAAAAAGTATTATTTAATTGTATACTTGAAATATCAAAATTTATTATTATTATATACATTAAATTTCAATTGAATCAAGATCCATAACAAATGATAGACACAATATTATTGTGAGGGTTTTGGGTAAAGTCCCTTTACCTTCACTGATATTGTGTGCTCTATTCACTCGTAAAATCTATATTGATTTTTTACTATACTAGAATAACTTCTACGTCTTTCAGTTGGGTAAATTCTATATAAATAAAAAAATAAGTCTTACAAAATAATATATCAGGAACTGTTTCTGTACTGGCTAGCTTATTAAATAGATAATTTCATTTTAAATCATACAAAAATAAGTTATACGAAAAATTTTTATTCCAATTTTCCTAATAATAAGTCATATAAAAAATTTTTATCACAATTTCCTCAATAATAAGTAATATGAAAAAAATAAGTTATACATAAAAATATATATCAGGAATTATTCTTAATGACTCTCAGAGATCAGAAAATATAATAAAGATTTTTTGTCCTAATTCCTCTTATAATAAATCATACTAAAGATAGGCATCATAATTAAGAAGTTGCAACTCGGTAAGTTGCAACTTGAGTTGCAACTTGGTTGCAACTCCTTGTAAATTTATTTTAATATAAAAATTCATAAAATGTTGCAACTCAAAGTGTTGCAACTTAAGTTGCAACTAGTTAAAAATTTTAAAAATAATTATGGGAACCATCTTTAAATCATACGAAATAAATTTTGTCCTAATTCTTCTCTCATAAGTCATACAAAAAATATATATCAGGAATTATGTTAAGATACTTTCAGAGGTTGAGAAATATAATAAAAAATATATCATATAAAATTTTGTCTCAATTCCCCTCAATAATCTATAATCGAAGGGAACTTTATCTCGCAATCTATTATAGTATTGGATCACATAATATCTCTTGATATGTAATGAATATCGTCTACAAGCAGAAGCAGTTGGCTTACCACAATCAGAGCAAGATACTCATTTTTTAGATTTCCAATGAAATCGACATCCTTCAGACTTAATATAAGCTCTTCCACAAGCCATTCTAGAGTTGCAAAGATAAGGGCACGAATATTCACCAATCATTTTGATAAGTATAGAAATTAATTAATTAAAGAAAAAATTTTATAAGCAATTAATAGTGCGACAGTAAGAGCTAACATCCTGGTTAGAAAATTAGAAGTGATAAAAAAGAAACAACATGTGATCATTGTGGTAAAACTTTAGCAAATTCTAATAAACTTCATGAGCATCTTAGAAAAAAAATCCATGTAAAGTTAAAACTAATACTCCTATTCAACCCCCTATTCAGATGCCTATTCAAACATCTATTCAAGCACCACTTCAAGCGCCTGTTCAAAAAGATAGCCAACAGCATATTCTAATGACTAAGCTAAAGCCAGTTAAAGTATCTAGTAAAATACCTAATAAAGATACTCTATTCAAAAATCCTGATATCGAATGGAATTATAAGGAAGTGAAAAGACAATTAAGCACTTTTGAAAATTTACAACAGGAAATATGCTGTAGACTTGAGGAGTTTAATAGAAAGCATTTCTACTTAGAGATGAAAAAAGTAGGTGATAAACTATATACAGGTATGATTACATCAAAATGGAGTATGTTTCTAAATTTGACATTCGAATATTTACACCAGGTTTTTGATAGAAAAAGAAGACTGGAGAAGGGTTATATAATAAGAAAGGGATTGTAGCTAAAATTCGTAAAGAAATATTTTCAGAAAAAGATAGTGTTACCTCTGTTCAAGTTGCTATTCAGACTTCTAAAGCAATACCAATCCCTAAAAATAAAGAGAATAGGCATGATCAAAGAGAAGAGTAAGCTCTGATCCCAATTCTTGGAAAGGATTATATTACTAAAGAGGAGGCTGAAAAATAGGTTAATTCAAATGATCGAAAAATTGGTGAGCATTTTAGAAAATGGGTGTAAGATTATATAAAAGATGGAAGGAACTTGATTTAGAAAATGATCGTAATAAACCAGAAATTTATCTCAATATAAACTTCTTTATCATGATTTTAGGCAATATGATGGAGAAGCAGAAAGGCTTCCTACAAAAGAAGAATATGAGGAATATCAAAGCTGGAAAACTAATGCAAGTCCTAGTTCAGCAACTCAAACCAATTGGGAAAGGTAAATAACGAAAAATTCAGACATTTGGGGGTATTACTAAAGAACAAGAAAAAGATCTAGAATTTAGGGAACAAGAAGAATTAGGCATAATACTTAAAAGAAGAGCTATAGCTATATATCACGCAAAAGTTTCAAAATCACATCCTGATAATGGAAGTAACATATGAAAAATGTTAGAGAGCCAAAGAAAGCAGTTTAAGAAGTATTTGAAAAGGAATTCGATAAGTATGAACAATTCAAGTTTGCTCTATATTTACTTACCAAATTTCTTATAGATGATAAGCCTGGAAGTGAAAAATAAGGAAAAAAGAATTCACAAACTGATTGGCTTAGAAATAAGCAAATTATAGTCTACAATAGAGCTGAAATAGATGACTATTTAAGCAATGCCTTCGAACAAATCTTATACCAAGTAGAGGAAAGAAGAGGTAAGTCTAATGCTTAAGTATCCATTGAAGGAGTAATTGCACATCCTTTACAATTTGTAGTTCTTCTCTCACAAATGAGCGTCTAAAACCATTATAAAGTTTATAGAGAACTGGTTGATTTTCTTTTATCAAATATGAATCAATTATAAAAAGTTCAGGAGACCAATTGCAATCAGTTGCTCTTTTTTTTCCAACCTTCTAATTCACCAGGTTTTAAGAGATGATGAACTTCAGTATAGCTAGGTAAAAGTGATTCATTATAACTAACTGGTCTTCTATATTTGACAAAAGGTTTAGCTATTATTTTTTTGCTATTTAATGCTCTTTTCACAGCTTCATTAGGAGACATCCCTATTAAGCAAGTAGAAGTATTATTAAAAATATCATCATTTATACGAAAACCTCTAAACCATATTCTGCATCTTTTAGATAAAAGCAAATGAAAATTCACGGTATCTTGTCGAAAATAAGCATGCTTTTCAAAATCTTGATAATCATGTTCATCAATAGCTACTTCACATTTAGAGTTAACATACTGAATTCTTACATTATAACTGAGTAATAATCTTTACATTCACCTATATATTCAGTACCTCTATCTACAATAAAATCTTTAAGCAGATTAAGAGGATCATTAAAATCATTGTAATTATTTTAGCCATTTGTGCAGATGTTTTATCAGTCAAAGTAAAACTATATCGAAATCTAGTTGCAACATTTTTTATTACACCTTTATACTTATAAATCTGATTACCTACTTTGTTATGAGGCATAGGTATAGTATCAGACTGATGTACTTTATTAAAAATTTGTATATCATTAAAAGAAGCATATTGGATAAATTTTGGTTAAGGCATATAAATCTGATATATAGCTTGTCTATCAAGCCAATCACACACTTCATTTAACGTAAAATCAAATTCTGCTTTTTAAGAAGCTTCAAATAATTTTTTTATAATCCTCTGATAACCTGAAGACTGATAATAAATCTTTTGCAAATCAATAAATATATCTAAATTTCTAGCTTTACTTGAATCTATTTGAATAATAGGAATCAATAACTGCTTGATGTATCTCATTAGGAATAGTAATAGAGCTCAAACTTGTATATAGAATATATTTTGGTCAGGGTTTATGAATCTGATGAACAGCTTGCCTCTCAAGTCAATCATGTATTTCATTTAAGATAAAATCAAACCCAGCTTTTAGAGAAGCTTCATGCAATTTTTTCGCAATCCTTTGATAGCCCGAAGACTGGTAATAAATCTTTTGCAAATCAATAGATATATCTAAATTTCTAGCTTTACTCGAATCTATTTGTATAATAGGAA